CAAAAGGTGACCAGGTTAGCTCAGTGATAACGTCTCTGACTTTAAAACCGGGTGGCGCAATCTTCAATCTCAAAAGGGACGTACATTTCTTGAAGATTCTAGAAGATCACCTTGACGCGAAGAGTGATATTAAGCGTTAAAACCTGGGTCTACAGCCTTCTGTTCATCTTCCTCTAACCATCTAATATTGCCACGACAGAAAATCATGTAGCTCAGTGACAACACTGTGGACTTCACCGATAGAATTCAGTCTGCATTGAAAATCAAGGACTAGAAGTATGACAGTGGTTAGTACTTATCGACTCACTGAAGGAAATATACAATACTTCACGAAAAAACTTATTTCAGACAGCCTTGGATTAACAGACTAGTGACGAATCAGTCGATGATGAATGAAGATGGAGTGAAGTCCTAGCTTGTGGCAGGACTCAAAACTGTGACTTCCCTTTGTGTTTGCAGTATAAAGATAACCTGGTTAGCGGCATGGTCGTATAGCTCAGCAGCTAGGCCACCGGACTGATGATTCCCCCTGCTATTGATACAAACTGTGTTGCAGTCCATATTTTCAAATCACCTTTAGTCACCTCCTCTTTCAAACCATTGTGTTTCTATGCCTTCCGTTCAAAGTGTGACTTACAGCTTTAGGCTTTATGTTGGCAGTAGTGGTGGGCGGGGTTGCTGTCCCCTCTCCAAACTTTTCTGCTTTGCAGGGCTAAGTGTAGGCCGGTAAAATATACCAGGTTAGGAAATCCAATCCGTATCAAGTGAGAAGCTGGTGAGCATTCTACCAAGGAGCCATTAACACACCAACTTTAATGATCACCAGCTGAATAAATACATAAAGGTCTTTTGATAGGACATGAAGTCAGAATTTCAGGATGAATCAGGGCATAGTATTCACCTCTAACGTTATCTGCTAGTTCATTTTTTCAAATGATACTTTCGCTGCCGATTATTTTGAATTTTCCATTCCTTAAATTCTTGTAATTGGTGGTCATTGTGTAACAAGTGATAACTTACTCCACTCACGTTGATTATTTAAGAATCTTTGGAACAGATTTAGCTTGGAGTGTTCAGGTCATATTTCCTAATCGATACTGATGAAACTTTGAGGCGTCCGAAAGAAGGATCACTATTCATGCTTCTTCTAACGTACTTTAATCTCGACTGTCTGCTGATCTCCATGATAACGCGTTATTAACGTTTACGGTGACACAATAAAGTATCTTGCCTGTTGTTCGTAGAATTTTATGATATGCAAAACTGGCTATGGAAATTTTACGATAAATTTCTTTTTAAGAATATATAAATTCAGAGAAATAGATAGTTCTTGTTTAATTTCGACTAAGCATCACTTTAATAAATTTCAACTATTTTTATCATTATTTTCATGGCTCTCAAGTAGAAAAAGGGCTTTAACAACACATTTCCGCATTATCCTGTTCTCTGAATCCCTCTTTGGATAGTTCCACCACTGCTCATAAACTTCCATCTTTTCCTCACATTATCTACACCATATCATCCTCAAATTGACGCTAGACAAATCGTTTCCCATTCCCATGCCAATAGAAGATGTGACGAGCACGTGTTGTCATTCAATAGCCTCCACTTTGTGTGTTCGATCTATTCCTAGTACCTTCGGACATATTTATCGGGCAATAAGGTGTTGGTTATTTTATTGCCAGGGTTTCTTGTTCTTAATCTATTCCATCCATCTGATCTTGGTATGGAGCAAAGTGACAAGCTGTTGATAAAAGTTCGCAGCCTCTTGGAGATGCTTTTGATGATATCCCAAGTCCCAGAGCCTCATAATGTCACTGAGTTTACACAAGTGTAGCTACAACTACTCGATGAAAATCGCCATAACAAGTGGATTGTGAAACTGTTTTGAGTAATCGGTATTAATCAAAATAGTTTTATTCTGTTTCCAAATCCAATTATAATGAAAATATGATTGTGCAAAAAGTACGGAATACAAAACCCAGTAAGTATGGTCATAAAATTATATATATTTAAAAGAATTCGCATTGGTCACTGGAAATAAATTTTATTGCCTGTTAGGAACAAAGGATACCAGTCCAAGTGTTTCATCCATTATACTTAGTCGTTCATACAGTGTCTGACTTGAGAAATAGAATGAAAATATATGATGGCTGAAGTACCGTTGTCGATTAGACAGTTTTGGATGTTGAACACTTCGTAAAGCACGAAATACTTGTGTGAATTTATTGAAATGATGTGTTCAGTAGATTTGCTTTAAATTCATTTTAAGAGATAGACCAAATCACAAAACGCATTTGTAACAATAAAACTGAACTATACAAAAGGTAGCTCACCAACCCCTCTTAAGTAATGATTGCTAGAAATACGGATGATATGGTACCTAAGGAATTTTACAACATGTCGTACGTTAACTTTGGGTAACATGATTTATTTTTCGCTCTCTTTTTCATTCAAAATATGCGACATCTGAATTTTAGGAATTTCAGCTAGATCAGTCTCCAAATGTCTTAGGCTTCCTCCATGAATATATGCATTTTCCTAGAGTCTTGACAATGTCGGAGTATTTATTTGCGGCTTAATTATTGTACCGATGGTAGCAGAACATTTACGTTAAACACTAGGAGTCACATCTGCCTTGTGATACAACTCAAGCCATAAAATGTATATTGAGTCATCATTTTGAGAACAAAAATGTAAATTATCCCTTTATTTACCATAATTATTTACTCCAAATAGTGCGAACGCCATCAAGTTAATCAAGATATTTTTGAGGAAACCTTAAAACTTGAGCTATTCGATAATGTTGCAAAAGATGATATATAAGGAGAATTTATAAATGCCAACGGAATCAAAACATCACTACGATAAACCGAATTTAAAAGCTGCAACCCAAGCTTACTGTGCGTTTAAATTTCTTCGGAATGAAAATGAGTTTTCTGAACTCGCTTATGTCTTCTGCTTCCGAAAACTTGACATTTTATCAGACATAATAGAGATTCTTTAGAGATCAACAATGTGACTTAATAATAATCTGATCTGTCGTGAATAAATACAGATTTAAGTTAATCTCATAAACCAGACTGTCTGAAGTCATTTACGTACTCGCCCATTCAAATTCATTTTCCACAAAACTAAGATACATAACTTTATGGGTGGCACCACACGTTTCTATCCGTTAACGAGGAAATCAGAAAAAGAAAGACGTAAAACAAACCGTAATATATTCGTATAAGTTAAGGGCTTGTTGCTTGGCTTACTGTCACTTCTAAAACAATGTTTGTAGCATGCACAAATATGTTGTGTTGACTGAACTATCATTAACACTTGTCGTTCCTGAGCACTAACATTACGAAATTGAATATAAGAAGCAGCCATTTACAAGGCATAACCTGAAGGTAACGCGTATGCTAACTGAGATTCTATCATAGAAAGCTAAAAATGAACATTTTCAAAAACGATTTCATGCCATACACAAGAAATGTGAAACAGTTAGTAAATTGACTGGAATCAGTAACCGAAATACAACCCAGAACAAAATGATGAGCAAAAGTATCTAGCAAATGTTTAAAAATAAACAAACGTGATAAGAAAAAGCAATGACTGCTCTTGAAGCAAGACTCATCAACTAAGTAAATTCCCCAAGTATATTTACTCGCAACACTTTTAAAATCGCATATCACGTGTCAAAGAAGTGGAAGAAATAAGCAAAGTTATCGCGAACACAAGCGCAAATGTTCCCATGTCTGTCAACTACATATATTCGACAACTTTCTATTCATCAGGATGACCAGAAGTTATCATTACAGATAGTCCTAATGCAAAATTCACCCACAGAGCGTTGAGAAGAATTTTTAGTCGAGGAGGAATTCCAGATGTCTTAGTTACTGATAATGGTACTCATTTTACGGAGAACTTCAATGATTTTCTTAAACATATAGGTTGTCGTCATTTGTACACAGCACCACGTCATCCTCAGTCAAACGGGTTGGCAGAAAATTTTGTACGAACAATAAAGAGCGCTATAGTATCAATGAGTCCTAAGAATTTTGATGAGCTAGAGAGATGTGGAGATAACTTCCTACTTCAATATCGCAATGCGAAGCATATAAGTACTCATGAAAGTCCTGCTAAACTATTCAAATCTCGAATTCTCAGAAAGCATCTGATGTCCACGACTTCTGATGTACATTATTACAGAGGACATGACTATAGACCTTCTGTTGGGATCATACTACAAAAATGGGAAATCGAATGGTGAAGATATTAGACATCGAAGATCATTCAGTTCATAACAGACACCTGGGTCAAGTGAGAATAAATGAAGTAGGTCGTTCCGATTAAAATTTTAATGATTCCGCTACTAATCCTGTTGAAAATAATATCACAGAATCAGTTAGAAGATCGCAGAGACTAGCAAGCAAACCGAGACATCATCATAAATACGCAAGGAGACATTCGACGCGTGGCGAATGTGGTGAATGACAATTTCTATTTCTATATTGTTTAAATACTTACTGTTGATTGTTAATATATTTCTTATATGAATTGAAATATAATTCCGCCAAATACATGTTCCTAAATTCATCCCTCTCTGTGTTTTGGTTGAACTCCTTTAATTCGGTCATTGCAAAATACTAATACTACTAATACAAATAATCACAACAATTCCCCAAGTATATTTACTCGCAACACTTTTAAAATCGCATATCACGTGTCAAAGAAGTGGAATAAATAAGTAAACTTGTCGCGAACACAAACGCAAATGTTCCCATGTGTGTCAACTAAATATCTCCGCCACCTTTTTATTCATCAGGAAAAATAACCATCCTAAGCTCATCAAACAATGGCTCCTAATTTTGAAACACCTTCAAAGTGCAAATCTATAAACAGTAGTAGTCAGAGAATCCCATTAAAGGCTGAGTATGTTTTATCTTAATATGATTAATCACTCAAAATACAGATCAATATAACAAAATATAACGAAAGTACGCACTGACCGGAAACTCACGAAGACATGTGAAATTTTTGAACATGCTCCTGGATTTCAAGGTCTTTGGTAAACAGCTACTTGTGTGATATAACAAGTAGTCGGAATTGAAATGTGCTACACAATATACTGTTCTGTAAGATAACGCTGATTTATAATTATTCTGATCATAACTTAAGGTTCGTACCACATGTGACATTAGCTATAAAACGGGACAGAGGACCTTGAGTTCAGAAATCAGATTTTGGTTCGCAATAGAAGTCTGGAAGCCTATGATAATTTCAGATTTCTGATTTATTGGTTGAGGATAGGAGGCTTGGAGCCTATGTTAAATCTTTTCTAGTAAATTTCTGTGGTTGTCCAAACCCTTCTTGAACGAATCAGTTGAGGTTTCAGACACCACTTCTTCTGGGAATCGGTTCCATGACTTCATGACTCGGTGTGAGAACCAGTACTCAACAGCAAGATGATTTCTTCTTGGCTTTGGAACTCTCCTGCTATGTCCTCTAAGGTGTTCCGACCTGGTGGGAAGTAAAGAGAGAATAGATCAGGTCCGTAGTCATTATTTAAGATTTTAAACATTGTGATTAAATCTGCTCTCTGCCTATGGTATGACGGAGAAGAGGTTTGAACTGTCTAGTCTTTCCTAGTATGATAAGTTATCTATGCCGTGAACCATACGTTTCGCCTTCCTCTGAACCCTTTCTAGAATGTGTGAGTCACCTTTTAGACAAGGACTATCGGCCTGGATGCAGTTTTCCAATCTTGACCTCACCAGAGATGTATATAAGGAGGTGAACATATCTCTGGTGATTCTAGTAAAGGCTCTACGAATTGCCCATAAGAACCTGAAACTACCTGCAGCCACCGTGAGGCAGTGTGCTGTAGTTTTTAAATCGTGGCTAACTATGACACCTAAGTCCATGTGAGTCTGAACTGATGGCAGTGTTATTCCCTCTAGATCGTAGGAGCTTGTGCTTGCTTTTTCGTATAAATTCATATATTCATATGAAAATATAAATTATTATTATTATATCGCTTCTCCAGTGCTCATGGTTGCACATTTTGCCACATTGATCAGGAGCATCCATCCTATGGACCACTCTGACAATTTGTTGAGGTCCTCTCGCAACGTCAACGTATCACTGTTGCCCTTCAGCCCTTTCCGAATTTTTAAGTCATCTGCGTATAGTACCATAGGGGAGTCGGTGAGTGGAGATAATTCATTGATACACAGAATAAATAAGAGAAGTCTGAGTAACATGCCTTGTGGCACTTCGCTACGTACTGCTGTCCAAAAGGAGAGTTTCGGGTTGATCCTAACCCTCTGCCTCCTATCTTTGAGGAATTCCCTGAGCCAGTTTAGTAATCTGCCTTTGATACCAAGACTTTCCAACTTCATGAGTAGTCTTTTGTGAGATACTTTATCAAAGGCTTTGCTGAGGTCTATGAAGACGACGCCGACGGGTCTTCCGTCGTCCTTTGATTTGACCCAGCTTTCTCTTGCAGTCAGGAGGTTTGACAGGCATGAGAGGTTCCTCCGGAAGCCATACTGTGCTCTAGGTAACATACTGCTGTTTTCCAAATATGCTATGATGCTTTTCTTGATGATTCTTTCCAGTGTCCTGATTAAAGTACTGGTGAGACTGGTAGGCCTGTAATTTGAAAGTCTTTTTCAGGAGAGGGCCGACGACTACTCAGACAACGATGACTTGACCAGCGTAATCAACAAAACAGCACATGTCCCCGATGCGTCTCTGTCAATGAGTGAATGCCCTTCAGCACAGAAGAGCACCCACCATATCCCAGACACCCACACTGCACCCACTATACCGGATAAGTCCCCAAGTGACATTAACGGAAAGACTGCCACAAAGAAGAGGCGTATCAGGGGTCAAAAACCTGTAGCTCAAATCGCCCAGGGACTGGCGTATCAGGCCTCATCCACACCGGTTAATAGCAGGCGGATAAATTCCACTGCGATTGTCGAAGGGGACGCCAATGAATGGCGTAATGTAGTCTCTAGCAAAAAGCGGGATAAGGATAACACATCGGCTACACCGCCCACGAAGGACAGAAAGACACGCCGCGGAGCAAGACAGCCAGTGCAAGCAAACCTGATCTCTCTGCCAGGTCGCTCATTCTCCCCAAAGTGGAAGAGTCACTGGCCGCGGATCCCAAGGCCAGATTCGAGCATGACCTCAACTTGTTTAAGCCACATTTAGACAAGCTACTGCCACAAACAATATCAGGCATTACTATACACAGCGTATACAGAATAGGCCAAAAGCCTGACCCTACAGTAAGTCAGCCTGTACGTCTCCTCAAAGTCGTACTAAACTCGAAAGAAGAGACGGATGCTATCCTAAGCAACTTTCAAATTCCTAAAGGATCAGGGGTATTTATTCGCGCCGACTTAAGGTTAGCAGACCCTATCAAAAGACAGCCTGCGGCCCTAGAATTAAGCGAGTGACGTCGAAACGGCGAGGAGAACCTTAAGATTTTTGTCCGAGTTCGCAGTTTAATGATCCCGAGACCTCTGTGGGTAGACAAAGGCTAGCGATATACTAGATTCTAGCAGTTTATGATGAAAGGAGGTGACTGAAGATGAAGTTGTTAGGCTCGACCAGTCAACTGTTGGGGCGTTGAAGTCGCCGACTACGGACTTCGACATTTCAATGTCCAGGAGCCAAGCTTCTCTATTAGGAAGTCATCTGCACTGCAGTCATCCGTCTCTTCTTTCGAGTTTAGTACGACTTTGAGGAGACGTACAGGCTGACTTACTGTAGGGTCAGGCTTTTGGCCTATTCTGTATACGCTGTGTATAGTAATGCCTGATATTGTTTGTGGCAGTAGCTTGTCTAAATGTGGCTTAAACAAGTTGAGGTCATGCTCGAATCTGGCCTTGGGATCCGCGGCCAGTGACTCTTCCACTTTGGGGAGAATGAGCGACCTGGCAGAGAGATCAGGTTTGCTTGCACTGGCTGTCTTGCTCCGCGGCGTGTCTTTCTGTCCTTCGTGGGCGGTGTAGCCGATGTGTTATCCTTATCCCGCTTTTTGCTAGAGACTACATTACGCCATTCATTGGCGTCCCCTTCGACAATCGCAGTGGAATTTATCCGCCTGCTATTAACCGGTGTGGATGAGGCCTGATACGCCAGTCCCTGGGCGATTTGAGCTACAGGTTTTTGACCCCTGATACGCCTCTTCTTTGTGGCAGTCTTTCCGTTAATGTCACTTGGGGACTTATCCGGTATAGTGGGTGCAGTGTGGGTGTCTGGGATATGGTGGGTGCTCTTCTGTGCTGAAGGGCATTCACTCATTGACAGAGACGCATCGGGGACATGTGCTGTTTTGTTGATTACGCTGGTCAAGTCATCGTTGTCTGAGTAGTCGTCGGCCCTCTCCTGAAAAAGACTTTCAAATTACAGGCCTACCAGTCTCACCAGTACTTTAATCAGGACACTGGAAAGAATCATCAAGAAAAGCATCATAGCATATTTGGAAAACAGCAGTATGTTACCTAGAGCACAGTATGGCTTCCGGAGGAACCTCTCATGCCTGTCAAACCTCCTGACTGCAAGAGAAAGCTGGGTCAAATCAAAGGACGACGGAAGACCCGTCGGCGTCGTCTTCATAGACCTCAGCAAAGCCTTTGATAAAGTATCTCACAAAAGACTACTCATGAAGTTGGAAAGTCTTGGTATCAAAGGCAGATTACTAAACTGGCTCAGGGAATTCCTCAAAGATAGGAGGCAGAGGGTTAGGATCAACCCGAAACTCTCCTTTTGGACAGCAGTACGTAGCGAAGTGCCACAAGGCATGTTACTCAGACTTCTCTTATTTATTCTGTGTATCAATGAATTATCTCCACTCACCGACTCCCCTATGGTACTATACGCAGATGACTTAAAAATTCGGAAAGGGCTGAAGGGCAACAGTGATACGTTGACGTTGCGAGAGGACCTCAACAAATTGTCAGAGTGGTCCATAGGATGGATGCTCCTGATCAATGTGGCAAAATGTGCAACCATGAGCACTGGAGAAGCGATATAATAATAATAATTTATATTTTCATATGAATATATGAATTTATACGAAAAAGCAAGCACAAGCTCCTACGATCTAGAGGGAATAACACTGCCATCAGTTCAGACTCACATGGACTTAGGTGTCATAGTTAGCCACGATTTAAAAACTACAGCACACTGCCTCACGGTGGCTGCAGGTAGTTTCAGGTTCTTATGGGCAATTCGTAGAGCCTTTACTAGAATCACCAGAGATATGTTCACCTCCTTATATACATCTCTGGTGAGGTCAAGATTGGAAAACTGCATCCAGGCCGATAGTCCTTGTCTAAAAGGTGACTCACACATTCTAGAAAGGGTTCAGAGGAAGGCGAAACGTATGGTTCACGGCATAGATAACTTATCATACTAGGAAAGACTAGACAGTTCAAACCTCTTCTCCGTCATACCATAGGCAGAGAGCAGATTTAATCACAATGTTTAAAATCTTAAATAATGACTACGGACCTGATCTATTCTCTCTTTACTTCCCACCAGGTCGGAACACCTTAGAGGACATAGCAGGAGAGTTCCAAAGCCAAGAAGAAATCATCTTGCTGTTGAGTACTGGTTCTCACACCGAGTCATGAAGTCATGGAACCGATTCCCAGAAGAAGTGGTGTCTGAAACCTCAACTGATTCGTTCAAGAAGGGTTTGGACAACCACAGAAATTTACTAGAAAAGATTTAACATAGGCTCCAAGCCTCCTATCCTCAACCAATAAATCAGAAATCTGAAATTATCATAGGCTTCCAGACTTCTATTGCGAACCAAAATCTGATTTCTGAACTCAAGGTCCTCTGTCCCGTTTTATAGCTAATGTCACATGTGGTACGAACCTTAAGTTATGATCAGAATAATTATAAATCAGCGTTATCTTACAGAACAGTATATTGTGTAGCACATTTCAATTCCGACTACTTGTTATATCACACAAGTAGCTGTTTACCAAAGACCTTGAAATCCAGGAGCATGTTCAAAAATTTCACATGTCTTCGTGAGTTTCCGGTCAGTGCGTAC